AGCTCTTGGAGCAAAAAACTGCAACGAACAACAAAGAGAAACGGGAGTCCAAAATGTCCGCAAATAATAATTCAAACAAGTTCACAAGTTAAGTAAAACAAATGTACCCAAAAACAGTGAAATTAATGATATTTATACATGAAGGTTTTGATCAGCAAAATGTCTTCTTTTCTCTCGTAACAATGGCACAGGTGCATCCGCTTTTTATGTGCTGTTTAATTCTAACCTTCTGAATTCCTCATATCTCATCTCAGTTGGGACTCATCGTAGAGTGAACGTTAGCTCTGAGATGCAAGTTGTTCGCATTTATTTAAAGCTTAGAAAAGCTAGCAAATATGTGTGCCCAATATTCTTACCTTCCCTTTTGTCTTAGATTAGAATGTGGGATAGAGTATACAGAATATGTTCCAAACAGAATGAAGAGAAAATGACCTTATTGGACCACATTAATATAAGTCACTTATTCACTTCTTTTTGTGTGTAGTTAGCTATTTTCTGTATTCATGAGCACTTAATTTTGTTTTCTGCTGTTCCCTACTTAGTAAAATTTCCTGTCAGTCGGAGTTACCGAAATATTGATTTCATGTATTGTAAGTGCTCACCTCGTAAAATTAACATGGTGCTGTTGATATGTTTCTAAACTGCGAAGAACTATTCTGTATTTTCTCGATGTAATTCAGCATACGTTGGTACTTGACATATGTAAGACTAAGATTTGGACTTCAGAATGCACTGTTAACATCTGTAGAGCATTCACAAACCCGATCTATACATTGCAGCGAAGTTTCTGTGGTTGTGTCGGGATACTCGTTAGCAAGGAGTCGACCCCATTTTTGTGAGACTTCTTGGAAACCTAGTCCTAAAATCTTTTGGAAGCTGTCATGGATTTAAATCAAGTGTAGTCACTAGGTGTGGTCTTGACATTGAATCACCAGTTGGTATGACTTCGAAGATATTGGTGACGTTTTGAGTAATAAACATAGCTCGAACGACAGTAAACTAGTTGAGAACTGTGTGGTTTCCTTTCACTGTACGTAGATTTTAGGAAGCTGGCACAAACTTGACAGTATATGTTCCATGAGTGATTATTTATGTCAGTTAATTATTTCTCTATGGGAGTTCCAGACACTTGAAATAATATTTGAAACCACTTGTCAGCCGTATAATGAGAGGAAACTAAAGCTTCTGTCTTTTTTCATTGTGTTTCAGGAGGGTAGCCTT